GATCATGTGGAGTTGAACCAAAGAGTTTATAAGGGCAAAGAGATCGCCTACTTCGTGAAGATCTACCCCGAGTGAGGCTAATCCTTCGTGGATGTAAGCCATGATGGAATAGACAAGGTTGCTTCTTCATGGACCCTTAGTGGGTGGAGCCCTCCACGGACTCGCGCAGCCGTTACCCTCCATGGGTTGAAGTCTCCATCCGTCCGATAGCACCACCTATCGGAACCATGCCAAAAATCTCCATGTCTTCATTGCGTTTGATTTCTCCGACCCCTCCTTTACGTTCATATGCAAAGTCTTTACTTTCCGCTGCTCAACTCTTAGACTTGCATGTGTAGAGTGTTCCTTGACTTGGTAGAATTGCTAAAACTTGCCTACAACTAAATTGGGAAAAGGATGAGGTTTTATTTGGTAAAATATTTTAATCACCCCCCCCCTAGACATACTTTCGATCCTAAACATCGGCAATGGCAATGCATGTGGGTGTCGTGTCCCTCTTTTTGGGGAAGGGGGAGGGGCGTCGTTGTGGTCCTCCTATCCGCATCACGGCTTCGGGTGAAAACCTTGACCATATTTTGGCCGGGCCGGTGATGGCGTGTGCCGTCGTCACCCCCTTTGGGGCATCACCATGGATTCAAGTTCACTCCGATTGCTTCCCCTCGGCATCAGCGGGCGACCTCGGATCCTTTCTCGATACCCCATCGGCTCTGGTAGGCAACGATCCCGACAGTTTTCAATTGTTTACACTCGACGTTGGTAGCATCGCTCTCTGTCCTAGGTGTTCGCAGGCAGAATTGGCGCTCAACTTCCCGGAGCGAGAGTATATGGATGCTCTCTGGCGAGAACTTAGTGTGTGTGTTCCATCGAAGTCGAGTAGTCTCTCTTCGAGGCATGAGTTCATTTCATGTTAGTAGCCTAGGGTTCTTCTTGGTAGGGTGTGGGCACTCTTGTATTCTAGTTTGAAATTTGATCCGCCTTGTGAGAGAATTTCCTCATCACCTTTTATCGGTTCCGCTGTTGTGCTTTATATATAAAGCGGGGCTAAAAGCCTTTTTCAGTACAAGTTGGTAGGATCACGTGACATTGTTGCTAGTAGGCGAGCGGTTCGTATATCAGGGCGGCGACGCTGGATGAGTTGGTGTGAAGGTCGTGGTCTGCGCGTGGCTTCCCTGTGTAGCTTGGGCTATGCGCAATCGGGTCATGCGGCATTGTAGTTCGAAGGCGAGCGGTGGCATGTCGGTGCCATGGCTCCGAGAGGTATTGTTGGCGGATTTTGCCTCGTGCTGCGAGGGTGGTAAGGTCGTCGCCATGGTCTAGATGATATGCATGGTCGATCTGGCTGGCTCATAAACACGCGCATACACTCACCCTATGAACGCACACACGCACACCATACCCCTATGAGCACCCCCGAAAGACTGAGCCGGCTTATCATCTTGAAATTTACGAAGTCATCCTGAAATAATTTAGAAATAAATGCGAGCACCAGGACTTGAACCCTGATGGGTTGGGGATACCATAGTCCTTCTAAGAGCATCTCCAGCCGTTGGAGCCCCCCAGGACCATCACCGGGCCAAAAATAGCACGTCTGGGGGCAAAACACCTTCGCCGGATGAAACGCGAGGGTGGTTTCCCACCCGTTGGTGCCCCCCAGGACAGTCGCCAGGCAAAAAGTGAATGAGTGGGTCAGAAAAAATGATACATGGAGGAATAGGACTGGCTGTTGCTTCCGCCGGCGCTCCCAACAGCCCCCCCCCCCAGCGCGTTGGGTTTGGCCTGGATTCGCCGGCACCGTTTTGACATCTTGGGGGCTTGGGGGGCATGGCTGGGCCTTTTTTTGCCATTTTTAGCTCGCCGGCAGAAGAAAAGGCGCCTGGGTGTGGCACTGGGGGGGGGGGCTGGAGATGATCTAACCTTCCAATCACAAATTGGTTCGCTTCCCTCATGAACTGGAACAATTTGTTTAGGTTTTGGATTCGCTTTCCCTGATAAGGTGAATCACAAAAAATAATCTAAACAAGAACACAAAAAATCCACGCTTCGTTGAAATTCAGTAGATCATTTATCGTTAAAATAAATAAATAACCAGATGTACGATAGACTACACCGATCGAGTTCGGTGCTCGTTGTTTTTGAACTTATATGGATTTCTTACCCCGTGTACGCCACCAGGTCACCTCGATGCGTACTTCCACGAGTGCGCGACCGAATTTCCCAGGAGACCTACGTACACCGGCGGGAAGAATTCCGGCCGGACCGAGCGCGTTCCCTTTCAAACCGAACCGTCAACGGAATTCGCGAGCTCAGAGTATTATTCTACCGCCGGCATCCAGTCGCGCCGCAGCTAATTTCCGCGGACCTGTCGTGGCCAGCGAGCACGTAGTATGACGTCGACGCACGCATTGAGAACGAGGACAATAAACAATTGCTAGCAGTAGTAGTAGAAAACAAACCAGCGAAGCGCGGAGCCGCGAGCCGCGACGAAACCGGCGGCCAGTGGCGACATGCGTGCGTGCGCGTAGCTGGCTGGACGGACGGGCGGACGGATCGGGCGGGTAGGGCAGGCAGCAGGCGCCGCGCCGCGCGCGGGGCCCACACAGCCCGCGGGCGAGGCGAAGGCGAGGGCGAAACTGCCGCCGCGCGAATCACTGCACCCCGATGCCCGCCGCTCCCGCGCGCCGGGCCCGCCCCCTGTCTGCCGCGACCACGCCAGGTCTCCCCGCCCCATCCGCTACTCCCCCCACGCACACGCACCACCCAAACCCACCCACCCAGCGCGCAGCCCCCACCCTTTCCCTCGTGCTACCCGCGTCCCATCGAGGCCACAGGTAGGCCACGGAGTGCGGTGCCGCAGCGCGGATCCGGGCAGGGGCGGCAAGGGCAGGGAGTGGCCGGCAGCGGAGGCACACGTGGCCCGTGGGCGCGTCGCCCACACGCTCACGCTACTCCCAAGGTCACGAGCGGAAAAGGGCGACCTACCACCCGCCCCGCCCCCGCCCCGCGCACCGCGCGCACACGGTCGCGATCCCCCGCCGTACGGGGGCCACACCACACCCACACCCACGCCGACGGAAGCGAAGCAGCGAAAGATCCACCACGGGCCCACCCGCCCCCGCAGCGGGTGGGCACCGCAACGCACTGCTGGCCGCCGCGCCTAATTAACAAGTACTCCCTCTGTAAACTAATATAAGAGCATTTAGATAACTACTTTAATGATCTAAACGCTCTTATATTAGTTTACGAAGGGAGTAGTAATTTATTTCACGTCCACGACGCTCCTCCACCTCGTTCGTTATCCACATGCCCCCTCACAGCCGCACCTACGTCTCTCCGCAGGAAACAGCCTGGAGTGGACGACACGTAGGGGTACGTACGGCGGCAGGCGCACTGATTATTTTTCCCTCCCACGATCTGACACCGGACACTTCCGTCGTGCCGCCGCTGCGAGAAGACTTGGAGGGTGCTTGGATACATTTTAGTTTCATGATTAAAAGTAGTGGGACTAAAACTTATTAGTCTCATCCATATTTGGATACAAATACTAAATAGACTAAAATGAGTTAATGAGCATTTATTATCCTTCAAACCCTCCAATCCCGAACTCGCATGTGTTAAAGAAAATGAGTTAAATGAAGAGAGAGAGGACTAATCCACATTTTAGTAGGGTTCCCCTGACTAAAAATTTTTAGTCTCAAGACTAGTTCTAGCCTCTCTTTAGTCAAGGGTGATTGGAAATTTAGCCTCTAAAAGAGACTAGTTTTAGTCAGACTAAAAATAGTCCCTTGAATCCAAGCATGGCCTTGGCCAAGCCCCGAGCATTAATAATAATAAAATATCATTTCCTCGGTCGGCAGGGCGGCTGCGGAAGCAGCGGCGGATTTACCTTACTCTTAGAGGGTGCTTGGATACAAGGGACTATTTTTAGTCTGACTAAAAATAGTCTTTTTTAGAGGCTAAAGTTCCAAGCACCCCTGACTAAAGAGAGGCTAGGACTAATCTTAAGGCTAAAATCTTTTAGTCATGGGAAACCTAGTAAAATATGTATTAGCTCTCTTTCTCCTCATTTAATTCCTCTTCTTAGTTCTGGATTGGAGGGTTTGGAGGATAATAAATGCTCAATAACTAGATTTTAGTCTCTTTAGTATTTGGATCCAAGCATGGGTGAGACTAGCAAGTTTTAGTCCCACTACTTTTAGTCATGGGACTAAAACGTATCAAGCATGCTCTTATCTAATCTCGTTACACTTGTGCTGCCAAGCTACCAGCGGTTGGGTTAAAATTAAAACCCAAAAGGACGGACGGCGACGGCGACATTTTTTCCAAGGAGCCGTCCCCGCACATCGCTGTTTATTATTGCGACAGATCGTGAGCGCGATTTGCAGTAGTAAATTCGACACGTAGTGGGCGGCGAGCATGGATCCATGCAGCAGCAGCGCGCGCACGAGGTGACCCGACCCGACCCGAGCTTTCTTCGACCGGCCAATAATGACCATGCTGCATGGGTCGCAAGCAAGCGGCCAGACGAGATTGAGATGAGACGAGGCGACGGGTGCAAACGCACGGGCCGCCCACCGAAACGCACTTACTCCTGCCCTCCATCACCCCTTCCGTTTCACCAAAGATATGCTGGTTATGTCTAGACTCATAAAAAAAGATCTGCTAGTAAATGGAGTAGAGGATTCGCAAAAAGTAGAAGTAACTGAGTAGTGAGTAAATACGAGTGGTCTGTCAAAGTAGAAGTAACTCAATATAATTCGGTCCATGGCAACGCCGGCAGGACTTGTCTTGGGCGACAATACATCCATCCATCTCTGCCTCTCCGGCGAAAAAAGAAACCGTATTTACAGATCTGCCCCTGCCGTTGTTGTGCAAGGCGGCCGGCCTCTTCTAAAAACATCATGGAGGTACATGCAAATTTTTCTTCGTTCTACTAGGGGCAAAAAAAGAAGGCGACGAAAGAAACTAGCAGTCATATCAGCTACATAAACTCCGGCGCCCGATCAGAGCTCCGCCGGCGGCGGGCAGTTCAGGTCGAGGTCGAAAGGGACGGGCTTCCTTGAGGGCGGCGACGGCGCCAGATCCACCACCGACGAGGAGTCGGAGTCGCTCGGGGACACGGACGCCACGGTCACCTTCGGGGCCTGGCTGTACATGTGGCAGCCGCCGGCGGCGGCGGCCGCCGCCTGTCCGAAGAAGTAGTACGGGTGCGACACGGGGTAGCCGCTGAAGGGGAAGCGCATGCCGGCGCCGGCGCCGGCCCCGGCGGTGCTGGTGGCCGCGCGGTGGAACAGGTCGAGCTCGAGGGACGGAGGGAGCGGCATGGCCTGCATGGGCGCCTGCACGTCGCCGCCGAAGGACTCGACGGTGCTGCTGTTGCTGCTCCGGCTGCCGTCGCCGGTGAGGGCCGCGGCGGCGGGCGGCGCGGAGGCGGAGGCGAAGGGGAAGTTGGTCTTGGCCTTGTTGCCGCGGTACTCGCGCGCGGCGGCGTCGTAGGCGCGGGCGGCCTCCTCGGCGGTGTCGTACGTGCCGAGCCACACCCGGCTCTTCTTGGCCGGGTCGCGGATCTCCGCCGCGTACCGGCCCCACGGCCGCTTCCTGACGCCGCGGTAGTGCGGCCCGACGCCCCCGCCGTTGCCGCCGCCGCCGACGCCGAGCGCGAGCCCGGTCGCGGCGGCCCCGGCAGCGGGCGGCGTCGCCGTCTTGTCGGACGTCCTGGGCGCCATGGCTGGCTTTCTTTTTCTTGTTGACAGATGGGTGTGTGCGTATCAAGCTGATGGATGGCGTGCA